ATTGATTACTTTAGTTTACCAAACCACGACAGCATTTATATTCATGTGGCAAGTTAAGATGTGATAGAAGTTTTGAAAAATTTTTACAGCAAATAAAACTAATAGAAAACACTACTGCTCAATTGCAGCTCCTTCACAACCTCCATCTAACTTCAATGTCACTCCAACCTCCTCTACTGGTTTAACAGCATCATGGCAACTACCACCAGCAAACTCCAGGAATGGAATAATTAAAGGATTCAAATTGTTTTACAAAAGGAAAGACTCGTCAGGCTCAGGCACCATTCTTTTTATCAACAGTGAATCAGCTTTAAACAAAAATGTCAATGGGCTTAATGAGTACACAGAGTATGAATTTCAAGTGTTGGCCTTTACTTCTGCTGGTGATGGCGTAAACAGCTCTGTTGTTGTTGAGAGAACAAAAGAAGATGGTTAGAGTACCTTTTTGTTTTATCTTCTAAAAATGTTATGACTTTTTACTAAAAGGTCAGATACACCTACCCTTCTTATACAGTTTTCTGATGTGATGTGAAAAATGAAAATCTATAATTATGCAATATGCAATTTTAATAACCATGATTTAACATATCGTTATATCAGTGAGTCGTTGAAGATAACTAATACAGTGTAAGCATTCTGATTGGCCATCAAATCATGACTATTTACTCATGAAATTACAAGCATGCAATTGAATATTAACAATTATGTTGGCTGTTGTTATTGGTTGCCTTCCTCTGGATTTAGACCTAGATGGTGTGCCCTCAGCTGCTTAACTGCGTTGCAAATTTATAAGAATTTTTTGGATTTGAGTCTGCCTTTTTTTTCTTCTTTCACTTGTTCCTGAGTGGCATTAATATTAAAAAAAAAACACAAACACAAAAAACACGGCACTGATATTCTGATTCAAATTTGTGTTCCTCACTAGAAGAGGCATTCTACAAATAGGAGCAAAAATATAATCAGATTCTTTATATTAACCTCAAGACCACTTCTGAATATGGCATATTTTCAACATAAATTACCCACCTAATTGGTCGACAACACGTCAATTTATCTCGAACAGTGCAGATAGTTGAAATTAAGTAAGAAAAAGTTGAAATTAAATTGATTTACAAGAATTTCGCAAATGGCGGCTGGTCGGCAGAAAGTAACAACGTTTTAATTCAAAGTTTGAAGGAGAGTGCTCGAAAAGGAAAAACCCATCAAGCACAAACAACTGGCTAAGAGTCTGGAAGACTTGGCTTTCCAGAATGGCAATGACAGAAGTATTAAAACATACGAACTGGACGCTCAGAACAAAACAACTCTCAGTTCGTAGTAAAGACGGAGAGATCACAAGAGTGATAGCGTTCGTTTACTGGTTGCTGCTATTAAGTAATTATTTGATTAAAAATAATAAGAAGATGACAATCATAATGACTCTGTTTATCGCTATGATTGTTATCATTTCTTATATAACCATATGCAACTTCTCAATTGCAGTTCCTTCACTGCCGCCTAGTGGCTTTACTCTAGCTGCAAGCACTTCTACAAGTATTACAGCATCCTGGCAGTTACCACCAAAAGACTCCAGAAATGGAATCATCACAGGATATAAATTGTTCTACAAAAAGAAAGGCTCATTAGGGCCAGCAAGCATGCAGCCCATTAACAGTCAAGCAACTCGCTCTCAAGAGGTCACAAGGCTTGATAAGTACACAGAATATGAATTTCAAATATTGGCATTCACTTCTGTTGGGGATGGACCAAAAAGTACAGTTGTTTATGAGAAAACAAAGGAGGCGGGTAAGAAATAGGAATCTATCTATTTTTATAAAATTCAGAAGTTTGTGGATGCTACAAATGTCTCAATAGAATGGTATTTAACCTAAAAGAAGAGATCAAACAGTCTTTAGAAAACTTGTTCAATGTGTTTGTTTGCCATATCTCTGATGTGATAGATCTTAACACAAATTATATTCCCAACATGTAATTTTAGAAATACACCTGTTCCTGTGCATGCATTAAATGTCCAATTTGAAGAAGGCTCTAGTGAGTGAGAAGGCCATTTAAGTGGGGTGGTGGCACTGTTAAAAGTGATAAGTAGGGAAAATACATATAATGTCACATTTAACTTGAAATGTGTCCATTTTATGGCAATCAGTTAAACATTGTTACGATCGTTAGGCACACAAATTAAAGTAATTGACAATTGATCTAAAAAAAAAAAGGCTGTTCTTTTGTTCGATATCCTTAACAGTGGGGAAAATACATATAATGTCACATTTAACTTGAAATGTGTCCATTTTATGGCAATCAGTTTTCTTGAATTATAGCATTTTTACGAACAGCAAATTCGCCTATGTACATGTGGCATACGCTGTTAAAACATGCCATGTTGTATTTTTGTCTCACCGAAAGGCTCTTGTCACAGGGGCTCTAAGTTCAATTTTTCAAAAAGTCGCCTTTTGGCGACCTTCAACTGTAAAATGGTCATACAAAAATTTGATCGCCTTTTCTCCCCTTCCCCCCGCTTACAAACATTGTAGTGTTCCACTACCGTATATGATACGTGGTAGGTAGTGAGCCAAATGATGCGATCATAACACTTTCATTCGCCAACTTTACTAGGTAAGTTTTATCCCGTGCAGATTAAAAGATTGTAAAAACGGTCAAGAAAGAGAGAATGAAGAAACTGTGATGTCTGGAAGCAGAACGATTCACCGAAAAGTTTCTGAGACCGAGTAACAAAATATTAATCGTGTTTGTAAAATAAGATTTCGGTCTACTTACTGCTCAGCCGAGAAGTATTTCTTATTTAAAGTGAAATGAAATATTTTATTTAAACCTTCCAAATTGTAAGTAACGTCTTGAAACACTTGATATTTAGTCACCATACTTCTTAATGCAAAGTTGAGACTTAGGGCTAAGTGCTGCACGTAATATAAAAATATGAAATTAAGTTTATCTCAACGAAATCAATTCGACTTGGTTCTACACATTTCAGGTTTATGCATATTTGGGAGTAACTGAACGTTTTTCTTCCCCCCCCCCTTTTTTTTTTAATCTGTTGGTCGTCAATTGGCGATTTTTGTCATGTTTATTCGCGAGATATATTTTTCACTTGCCATGGCGACCAAAAAAGTCCCAACCTGGAGCGCTATGCTATGCTTGCAGAACTACAAATGCACAATTTGCATTTCTTAACTCTGCGTCCCTATTTTAGCACTTAATTGAATAAGGGTGCTCACTTAATAGGGGCGCTCATTAGAATAGGGGCGGTTATAAACAAAAATAACTTCGAGGGGTGCGGTTATTAAATAGGGAGTGCTTATTAGGATGAGGACGCTCAATCGAATCATTGCGATATATCTATTACATGTATTTTGAGACTATGATTGTGTAATTCTATTTCGCGTCAGATTAGCTTTTCACCCAAGAGTAGTTATAAATTTTTAATTATTTTCCCTTTTTTATCAAATAGAGCCCAGTCACGGACCAGAAGATATATCTTCCTCTGCAGTGAGCTCCGCAAAATTCAATATAACTTGGCGTGGACTGTCAAGAGAAGTAGCCAATGGCATTATCATAAACTACGAAGTTAGGCTCAGTGTAGTAGAAAACTGTACAGCGATCAAGTCTTCCTATAATTCAACCATTAACGCGACCACCACTTATGTTATCGTGACTGGACTCTCTTTGTGTGCCAAGTATGAGGTGTCTGTTAGAGGATACACTGTTGTGGGGCCTGGACCCTACAGCAACCCTGTAATGGTGCAGACATTGGGTAAGGAAGTCTGTAAGCAGTTGTAATGAGGCAATTTTCAGGGAGGGAGTAGAACTGAAAGGTGGAAAAACTTGTGAGAAAGTGTGGGAAGCACTGAAAAAGTATGTAGGTTTCGAGCGAAGGCAAGTGATTGAAGATCTCTTTGAGTGTGTGATAAAAACATAAATGTAACCTCATCATTTTCCTTCAGAGTAAGAACTGATAAATATATATAACGCAAAATGTTTTTCAAAGCCTTCTTTCACTTCTCTCCAGCTGCGGTTTGGTCTAAAGAAACGCCATCTTCACCTTCGTTTTCTGCAAAATCAAATGAAGGAGGAATTTCAGTTAAAGTCACGCTTCCACATTTTCCTGGAAATGCAAGGTACGATTGACTAAGCAACTTCACGCTAATTTTGGCTGTATTCCTATTTTACAATATTCAAGGGGTAACATAAAGTTCATTTTCTTTTTACGGTTATCGTCATGAGACATCTTGTGCATTGCTATGTGCTAATGCGGAAGAAAATATAAGTAACAAATGACACTACAAGATACTGTTGACATAAAAAATATCATGTAACGTATCTTGCAGGTTTTTCCAAGTTATCATCATTACATATAGCTCAAACTATACTGGTGCTGTAAACCCACCGGAAAGATTTACAACACAAAACATGATGACGTATGAAAAAGCGCACAAATCTGCAGTTCCTGCTGCTTATGTCGCTTTTCAGTTTAACGGAAGTGACTTTGATAAAAATCGAGAATTTGTTGTAGGAGACGAAACGGAATCCAGCAGTAAAGAAAGGAATAAGAGAAGTAGTGGTGATCACTTTTATTACAACAAACCTCTACAGCTGAATACAAACTACAAAGTGTTCCTCAGGGCTTTTGTCTCCGAGGTACTCGAAAAAAACTTTTGTCATAAGAGAGGGATGTAGTATGAATTCAGTGTAAGAACTTAGTGACAAAATTGACCCATGGTTTTAAGGTTCTTGCATTCGCTTACTCCGAGTCTGCACCCAGATGTCTCCGGAATTTTCCCCTCCTAAGCTATTTTCTTGCCGTTGTTTACCAGCTCTTTGGTCTTAGTGAATGCAGTGCTATAACAGCAGTTTTTAGTAGACTTGAAATGCTGAAGAGGTCTAAGTCACCACACCATACCCAAACGCAGCAAAAGGTTACAGATGAATAATTGGTTTTTTGTGGTTGTATTTTGCAGACTGTTTATGTCTCCAGTAACTTTATAGACATCGACACCAAAGGTATTGATGTTTTGAATGTCTTTTTTGGTATACTTTTCCTTTTTCAGAGGCATCTAGCATTCAGCAACCAAAGTTAGCTCAATGTAGTCTGTGAGTTTCTTTATTGGTATGAGACTTTCATGCTCTGTTGGTTTTCTTTCAGAGTTTGTAAGTTTCTTCTCAACCGAGGTGCTTTTAAATTATTTTTTAGTCGGGAAGGGATAGGCTGCAAAGCCTTACTGCTGTATTTGTGCCTTGTTATTTGTTAAGGAAAAAATAATCCATGTTTATAACAACTCAGGTAAACCTATCATCAAAGGTCTCCCAAAGACAACCATTACAAAAATTGGCAAACTGGCAATGTTGACTTGTGAGGTTAGTGGAGACGCTAATGCTTCTGTTACCTGGACCAAAGATGGACTAAGCAGTATACCTCGCGCTCAGTTCGAGAACAACGAGAAAATACTTATTATAAGGGATGTTGTTCCTGGTGACAGTGGCGTTTATGAGTGTAAAGCAATGAACATGTTTGGAGAGAGCCGTACTGCTACGATAGTGATTGTCGCTGGTACGTAGAAAGTTTGTCACATTTGCATTGGATATCGGGTAACAATAACATTTGCATTTCCTTTCGTGAAATAAGTCTGTGAAGGAGTAAGAGTATTTTTTTATTATTTTAAGTTACAGAAATTGCCCACCTCTACCAAAATGAATGACTAATCATGGTTCTTCTAAGCATCACGACAATCACCATGGCAACTGGTCTCAACCTTACTCCAGCCACTTATTAACAAGTCATTGATGAATTAATGTGTGTACTGAGTACTAACCAAATATTAGAAAATTGTAGTTTAAGGGTGAAAGAAATAAAACAACACTGATAACAACCAAACAAACCACCACTCAGCGCGCAAACCAAATAATAGATCCTAGTAGTGTTCCCACATGTTTTTTACACCTTTGCTCTGTTGTCACGAGCATGATTTTGTCTGAATTTGTTTTGCTATCATTTCGTTTTTCTCTTTTTTCGCACAGTGCCACCCAGAATTATCGAAGAATTTTCCCCTTCCTCAGTGATATGTGAAAAGCAAAGTCCGTGTTTTCTTTCATGTCAAGCAACAAGTTATATTCCGTTTAACTACACTTGGACGAAAGATGACCAGTTTCCAACTGGTGATGGCATCAAGTTCATGAATAACAGTATCATCGTCACGCCACAGAGTTCACATGATTATGGGGAGTATGTGTGTCACGCTACAAACAGCTTTGGGTCAACAGAGCTTAAAATCACTCTGCTTTCTCCTAAGGAAAATGAAGATGATGGCGGTAAATGCCCTCAAAACGGTAAATATTCCTTAATATTCGAACGTGCTTAAATATTTTCTTCTCAAAAAATTTTGGAAAGCCTAGAGCTTTGAAGTCCAGTGTGGAGTTTATGGGCTTCTAATTACAGTTGTTTGGTATAGCCATTTATGTATCAAAAGCAATATTGTGTGGTGGTCTCACACGCCGACGTTTCTCGGTATGAAGGTACATTTTCTTTCTTCAATTAGAAAGATATAATAATGTGCAATACAGGTAGATCATTCCATATATCATAATTGGCCTGTTCGGTTGTAACTTAATCAAAACAGAGCTATATGCAATATAGTTGATAGCTGATAGTTAGTTTGAAAATCGTTTGTTTTCTTTCACCAGATACACAAAGCATCTTCCTTGCTAGTGTAATGGTGCTGTCTTGTATTGTGGTCGTGTTGCTCATTATAATTTGTGGGCTGATATGGCAGCGGAGACGAGCTGTTCCCAATAAAAGGACACAGAGTGAAGAAAAAACTGACTTTGATGGCGTCAAATCTTCACCTGATCAACAGCGACGTGATCAGCACGCTTCAGACCCGGACTTATATACGGAACTCAAACTCAGGTCTTCGAACCAAGAGTCTCATATTCCTACTGAGCATCAGTCGTTACAGGAAGAACCCGAGAACCCCGGATATTACAATGTGGTGTTTCAGAAAGAAAATGGCGAGAAACAAAATGAAGAAGTGTATGTGGAATTATGCTAATCTTTCAACTAATTTTGTATCCTTCTAGTTCAGATTGTCCATCTTGTGTTTTATGCTATGCTTAGTTATATGTGCATGTTGATTTGTTCTGTATGATCTAATGGAGGACAGACGCATAGATGGCGTCACCATTTAACAATATCTTGCTTCTTCATTGTAAATACAAAGAGATTCCATGTTGCCGTGAATCTGTTCTGTAATAAGTCACAGAAGACGTCAAAATGTGCTAAAAAGAACAGTGCCAGACTCGACTGCGCTTCGTGTGCCACACTTAAGTTCTTACCACATTTTGACGTCATACATAACAGAACAGACACACGCCTACATGGAATCTAATTGGTAATTAGAAACGGTACTTCGGTTTGTGAAAGACTTTGTTCTTGTCTCGCTTAAAGAAGCACTTCGTAATTCGGCAATGAAATGCATACGTTTGAAGTTTTCTCCTCCTCATTATCGTCATGATCACTCTTACTATCGCAGTGTCGCATAGAGTGCGGTTATCTGATATAGCTGTAAGGCAAATATACAAGATACACTGGTAACACTAGCTTACCCAGTAGATCCTGTTTGCGAATTTATTCTGTTTACTACAAGAACAGACATGACCTTTGTTAGTTTGTGATCAAGGCAGTTTTGAAGTAAGGCCTTAAAGACTTCTTCAACGCGCAATAACCTTTGATTTGGTCCATTTAAAATTAATTTCTTATATCTGTCTTATATTTTACATGTATCTGTATAATTGTATCTTTTACTATTGGTGTGAAATTTCATAAGATGGAATCGCGTATAGCCAGATCTGAACATTTAGTTATAACCTCGAATGAGAAGTAAATGAAATTCATAACTTTGGGCGAGGTCCCCAAACTAAACGAAACCTCATAGGAGACAGTGGCACATGCATAAAAACTTACTTTTCTAAATGAATCCCTGTTATCAAGTGAGATTCAATCCACAACATTTTACACCGGTAGCAGCACGAGAATTCGAATTCAACTTAAGGTGTGCTCTGAACCAGCAGTAAAAATGAAATAATTAAATATGCCATTTTTTTTAAAGAGTCATTGGATGTAAACATAGAACAAAGCGTAACAATGTCATATATTTTTTTTACCAGTACTGAAAGTTGTTCCTTATATTTTACCCTTTTAAAAGGGTTCTCTTTTCTGAGTCATTTATTGGACATAAGGACGTTTTCATCATATTTTTAAGTAAATTCTTCTTAACTGTAAAGACAATGTATTGCAATTGAAAAATGTTAAGCAACAGAGTATTATTGGTAGGTGTTTGTAGATAAGAGAATGGAAAATAGTACAATATTTTTGCTCCGTGAGATATTTTTTACTTACAGAGCACTTACTGATTGAAGAAAATGCTTGGAGAAGTTTTTCCGAGGCAATAACATTTTAGTAAGCATTTAAAATGCACAGAACTTGAGCAACAGAGTAGTTGTAGATAATGGAATAAAGTGTTTCCACAAAAAGATGTGCCTGACTTTGGTATATCATGTCTCTTTTATCCACTTCTTTTCATGCAATAACATTTCGTTGTCAAGTATCTAACTTAAATTTCCTAGTCTTACAGTCAAGTTTGGGCCAAACAAACACAAGATTAACAATATAAATATTATAATAAACTTAATAACAGAATTAAATTCATACTTGAAAAAGTATTCTAAAAAAAAATTGTCTTGAAGGCTGTTGCATTACACCAGAATAAACGCGAAATTCGGAAAAGAAAGGGCGTACCCAAGGTACCGCCCCTAAGAAAGCTACGTGCTATTCACATTAGTTATCTAATTACAAATTCAGCGCAAAAGATAAAAATACTTCACGTTTACACCTTAAGTCACATCTAAAAAAAAAGAGGTGTCGAACATGTTAAATTGAAACTAAAAACTATTTTCCTGATCGGGAATTCAACATAGATTTAGCCTAAAAACGAAAATATTAAATAAATAAAAGAAAGTTTCGTAGAAAAGGTTGTGGTTATTCATCGTGGTAAATAACGATAAAAACTAAGATTTTCGTGTGTTTCACGATGTAGTCGCGTGTGATGTAGATCGCGACATAAGGTAAAACCGCAGTAGCTTTAAACTCGTCGGTGGGTTCGGCACTGTTGTTCGGTTTTCCGGTCTTGGTAAGTTTCTGCAAGAAAGAAAAAGGATAACCATTAGAAACCAGAACAGAAGACAGATATTTTTTCTCCTCGGAGATGACAGAGGGTTTTGTTACGAGACATTTGGCGCGCTCGTAAAGGCACTTAACAATACCGCGTTTTACTGATTGAGGTTGGTGTGAATCATACGCCAAGTATTGATCGGTGCGCGTGGGCTTCCTGTATACGCTGGTGGTGAGGCGGCCGTCAGGTTCTCTTAGAACTGCGGTGTCTAGGAAGGCGAGTTTGTTGTCTTTCTCTGTCTCCATGGTGAAGCGGATGGAAGGCTGCTGGTTGTTTAAATGCTGTAAGAAGTCATCTACGTTTTCGCGATCCAGGATGGTAAAGGTATCGTCCACGTAGCGTTTCCAGATCCTAGGCTCGTAGGACGATGTAGTTATCGCCTGTTCTTCGGAACTCTCCATGTAGAGGTTAGCAATAACAGCGGAAAGCGGGCTCCCCATGGCGGCGCCGTATTTTTGCTCATAAATCGATCCGTTATACTGGAAGTATGCGGATCTTAATACGAAAGTCGAAAGGTCGGCGATCTGTGCAGGCGTAAGCGTGGTGCGGTCTGCAAGGTTTGGGTCGTTCTCGAGTTTCTGCAGTGCGGTTTGTACAGCGGCGTCGATAGGAACGTTGGTAAACCGCGATTCTACGTCGAAAGATACCATGATCTCGTTGTCTAAGATCATCTCATTGCTGACGGTGGATACGAAGTGGGCTGAATTGGTCACCGTGTACTCCGACTTTCCTGTTAAAGGAGAAAGAATGTTGGCTAAGTAAGTGGATAAATCATATGCAAAGGTGTTTACGCACGACACGATCGGTCTTAGCCTAACATCACGAAGGAGATGCGAGATGCACTTAAAAGCCTGAAAGAAGACGAGTCCATCATGGTTCTCCCAGCGGACAAAGGGCGCGCTAGCGTAGTCATGGACACCGACACCTACCGAGCTAAGATGTCTACGCTTATTGAGAACGGACCGTACCAGCTCCTCAACAAAGATCCGACAGATCGTCTGACCCGCAAGTTGTCTGAAAAGCTGCTTACTCTGAAGCGAAGCAGATATCTACCAGAGGCCGTTTACAACAAGATCAGACCCCGACACAAACAGCCGCCTAGAATCTACGGTTTACCGAAGATCCATTAGGCCGATGTACCGCTAAGACTGATCGTGTCGTGCGTAAACACCTTTGCATATGATTTATCTGCTTACTTAGCCAACATTCCGGTTTCTAATGGTTATCCTTTTTCTTTCTTGCAGAAACGTACCAAGAGCGGAAAACCGAACAACAGTGCCGAACCCGCTAATGAGTTTAAAGCTACTGCGGTTTTACCTTATGTCAAAGGTCTGTCCGAACAGCTTCGCCGTTGCCTACAACAACAAGGCTTACGCGCTGTTTTCAAGTCGGAGACTACGCTAAGATCTCAGCTTGTACGACCAAAAGACGCTGTCGACCCGGCTAAACAAGATGGCGCATGACCAGTCGACCTTATCGCCTGAGGAAGACTAGCAGTATGCAGTCGAAACGTCGTGATTTACATCACACGTGACTACATCGTGAGATAAACGAAAAACTTCGCTTTTATTTTTAAAAGAAAGTTATTTCCAAGAAATTCCTGTACGAGATCAATTTTTATAAAATAAAGTCATTTTCTTAATAATTTTTTTTCAACAACATAATAAAAATATACCGGTAACTAGCTGCAAACCGCAGTTTACTCAAAAACATCTGTCTCCATGTCAATTTCTCGATTATAATAAAAAAGTAACCAAACTCTATCTATAAAATAAAACCGCCTAAAAAAGTAAAAAAAATTATCAACTGGCTTATTATAATTCTTACCGAATAGCTTATACTAACATATCTTTTCCATCTATTTTCACGTTCAAATAAGTCAAAAATCACCTAGAATAAAAATTCTTACTAGATGCCAATTTTTTCTTTTAACGATATTGTCGAAAACCAGACATGCGACACAAAACTCCTCCATTTAATATTCAGTCTTAGCCAGGGTTCAGTTGCTAAACATATTCACCGTCGCACTTCCACTTGTCACACGTTTTGCCTGCTACGCAGCTTGTTGCCAAATACCGTTACTAGTTTGGATGCAATATCATCCAGTAACAGCCCTTATTTTCTACGTTTGATGAGGTTCCCTATTTTGGTAGATATGCATGGGAATTTGCACGACTGGTTAGCGCGAGCAGTGCAATCGAAAGACTCTACCTACCCTTGAACCTTTTTTCCACCTTCATTTCGATATAACTAGACCCAGTTTTTCTGTTGTCTTAGTACCACTGACCCCTGCTTGCTAAGTACTGTCACAGAAGAACACTAGTTATACTCTTTTATTCCGAATAATTGATTCATGGAAACTCTATTGATCTGCTGTGGAGTTTGTCTGATTATTGCTGCACTTAATAATCTGATAATGTTTCTCGAAAATGATTACTGAAAAACCCTTTTCAAGAAATCCAATTAAAATTATATTTTTCAGCAGCTCTCGCACTAAAGACAATTTTTCTTTCTCCATCCTTGTCGTTTTATTTCTTATTTTTAGGATTTGTTTGAAGAAAGTGATTGCATGCGGGAACCCTAAAACTTCAAGAATTTATGTCTTAACTATAGCTAACCTTGCCTTCGTCGAGTCTCTTTTTTGTTACCCTCTTTGGATAGGCACCCTCTGGTATCAGACTTCAGGAGTTTTGTGTTTCATTTCGTGTCACTTTTCACTTCAAGAATACACCAGAGCAGGCCTGACACCAGAGATGTTGTATTGTATTGTTTTGTTTTTCTTCTCACCCAGCCTCCCACCCTGGGTGATTTTGCGTTATGTCATAGGGTTGCAAAGAGGTTTATTGGGCATATAATTGAATGTTGTTTACTTTTCGTTTGTATTCTTAATAAACTTCTGTGTGCCAAAAAGCGAATCGTTATTTATTTGTATCAGGGGGCGTAATTGGGGAATTCGAAGTTATTTTTTATGTCGGTCGATGATTTAGTCGGTTCTGAGTTCCTCTGCATACATGGGTATGTGGAGATCTGAGAATATAAACTAACTGCCATGTCATCTTTGACAAGGTAGTTAAATTTTAACTCTTAAGCTGGTTAAGAACTGAAATCAGCTGAAATATAAGCTACAGCCCACGGCATTGTGGGAAATATGAACAAATTCAGGCTACTGTCATTTTGTTATGGGACGAAACTACTCGGCCTACGAAGAGTCTGATTGTTTTGCTGGAACCTCGGACGATATTGCTACTAATCATACAAACCCAAGTTTAGATAGTGAAGAGACAATCTATTTCGGATGAGCTTTCTGTTACAAACGAAAGGTCAAGTAAAACGATCGTGATACACGCATATCGTGACTCACTTAAATCGCGACATGGCGCAATTTAATCTTTGTTTCCGGGTAGCTTTTCTCGCTGTACTTCTTCCACTGACTTCAGGTGAGTACCATATCATTTTGAATCTGTTAGAAAGGTCTATTTTTATGTTAAAATTTACAGGATACTTGATTGGAGATTTCTTTCAGTTATGAGTGCTGTAGCTCAAAGCTTTCTCATACGGTCGCAGGTTAGTTCTCAATGCGGACAGCATTAATATCAGAAAGAAACGAGGGTTCCTCGGGATTTTGTGAGGAAAATGTCATTATGTCAGAATAGTACAGTTGAAAATCTGCCTGTTTTTACATCAATCGCAATTTGGAAGCATGGAGAATCATACGAATGAAATTAAACTTTGAATTGTTCAGCAATCAGAAATACAGACAGTTCTGAAACTATTGAGTTTGAACGAAGAAATCGAGTGGTAAGATCTGCTGCTGTTTCAGGTTAAAGAACTCTTGGAATTTATTCCACCTTTCCTATCTACCTTAAAGCTTCTAATTTTGACCAGTCTGTATATATCTACCTTGTGCTCCCAAAATTGTACCTTTACACTGAAATTCAACTTCTCTTTGCTCCAAGGAAGGGTTAATGACCCAGGTTTCTCAAATTCACTGCAACAATTTATTTTCCTTTATTTATATTTTGCTTCAATGCCTTTGATGCAGCACAGCAGTTTTTCAAAACTTGAATCTTTCTTCATTTTCTTTAAAAATGGACGCCATCCAAAATGATACCCCATGTATCCAACCATTGTTGAATGTTACTATATTTATTAGGACTGTGTTATAGGGCAGATGAAAATTTTGTTTCTATAGGGGCTTGTGTTGATTTTTACCTTGGAATGGAAAGTGGAACAATTCCAGATAGTGATATAACTGCTTCTTCAGTACAAAGTGCCAACACAC